GTCGTGGGGCATCGGCTCCCTGATCAAGTTCAAACAATTCCTGCTCACATTCTTGTTGATGTTCTATTTCTTGCTCATTCACGCTCCATCGACTCCGTTTCCAACTCATGCTCTCGCTCCAAATCCATATCCTCATCTTCCTTTCCTTTTTACAGGGCTAGATCACGGAGCCGTAGTCCCCCCTCCTACGAGAAAAGATACTAGCGAGGTAGTGGTGATGTTGGAGGTCTGGTGAGTTGGTGCTAGTCGTAGCTTGTTGCCACTATCGCTACGAAGTTGTGACCTTGTTGTGCTTAGCATTATTTTGGATTTGATTTTTTGGTGGTCTTTGGTAAGTGGTGGTTGTGATGTTGCCTGCAGTGGTGATGTTGGCAATAATCATGGTGGTCGTGGCGGTTGTTGGTGGTTGTGGGATGTGAGGGGATGGTATACGGGTGTTTGTGACCAATATTTGATTGATTGTAGTTAATAAGTTGGTTAAACTGTGATCAATAGATGATAGGTGACCTAAAAATGGGATTGTGACTCATAATTTATTAATTCGTGATCGAGAAATAACTACCAATTAATTCGATAATTTGTGATCGTTAAATAAGTTGCGATTTATAAAATTTGTTATTTGTAATCGATAAATAAATTATGAACTATAAAATTTTTGATTTTTGACCAATGAATAAATTGTGATCTATACAATTTTTAATCTGTGATCATTAAATAATTTGTGACCTACAAATTTTTTTATTTGTGACTAATTAATTTGATAATTTATTATCAGATTGTATATAATTATAACCTTATTATATTTAATTAATAAAATATATTTTTAATTAATTATCTCGTAAATAAAATTAATTAACATATGATTTTCAAAGTTTTAAATCTTGTTTCTTAGTTTAAAAATGGGTCATACTTAATTTCTTGGATATGAAACTTTCCCTTGTTTTAATAATCATTTCACGTCAAATTAATATTAAATGGCAAGAATGCAACGAAACATAAAATAAAGGGAAAAATTCATATATGCCTTAATAATATATATTATATCAATTTATACTACTAAAAATAATTATAATCTGAAATTACTACTTATTTATATAAAAAGAGCAATACTACTTCATTACTATTACCATTTCAATTAATTAGACAATCTTATTTGATTCAAATTCAAAATGGTTTCTCTTGCTTCCTTCATTACTATTACCATTTCAATTAATAAGGCAAATAATCTTCTTCTGTGCGCATTAGGAATGTTGTATATCCATTTTTGAATTTTCATTTTTCCTATCAACAACATTTGGTGCTGATTCGGTGGTTAATTGTCCAATAACCATCGAGCTTTCATGATTTGTTATGTGTTCCAATACATGGAATTTTAAAGTATGACTCAATTCAAAATCTCTACTTATGATACTATGTAAAAATATGCATTCTTTATTTATTTCAGACTCTGGTTTGTTTAAATACCAGAGGTCAATGACTAAGGTGATATCGTAACATTACATGTATAGATTTATATCGATATCAAAAACTTATCAGATGTATTTGTATAGATTCGTAGATGCTTTAATTTGTGTGGATTTCATATTAACTTGTTTAAATGTTTGCATGCAAGAACCAGGTGAGTGAATGTGTTCTTGACATGCAATGAATGACTTTTGGACTTCTCGTACCAAGTGGGTGTATTGTCTTGAATAAACAAAATATTTAACTAATACTATTAATCGTCTCGAGTATTGTGTTGCATGAATAAAATGGAAGTTACATTGTTATCTATTTAGTTTACACATATTTCTTAAATTCTTGCAGTAGACGGGTTTCTTCAACGACAATATTACTATGAAAATGGAATTCCCTAAAACATCAATCAAACTTTTTGATTATGTTAATGCTGAGTCATCGGATTTCTATACAATGCACACTTATGTTTGTGTTGATGAATGATTGAGTCTACCTGGAACTACCATATATGTATGGAATCGTGGATGGAAATATTGTATCTACAATTGGATATCATGATTGATAGAATGAACAACAAAAAATTGGATTCAACATCAAATGCATCATAATATATAATGAAAACTTGATTGAGCAATAAAATAAGATTACTATAAAGAATGTATTTTCATAACGAAAACTCAATTGAACGATAAAATAAGATTACTGTAAAGAGTGCATTTTCATAGCAGCCAGACAAAAGGGATCAATCTATTATCCATACCATACAAAAGCATAAACCACCGAAGTCTATAATTACATAAGCTTTTTGTTCAGACTTGATGACTAAGCTATTGAACACTAACCCTGAAGGGTAATTCAGTAGTCAGGCTTTCAGTTTGCTCCCTAATGGTCACCAGTTCGATTTCCCTCAGGGCCACTGAGGTGAGTATCCGGTTGTAAACTTCAGGATCTCGTGAGATAGCTTAGGTTTTTTTTTTTTTTTTTTTTTTAAAAGGGAAAAAGGAAAAGCCAAAATTTTCAAGAAAAAAAAAAAAAAAAAAAAAAAAAAAAAAAAAAAAAAAAAACCTAAGCTATTGAACACTATGCAAAAGAAAAGTTAAAACCAATTTCTGTCATTTATTAACCAATCCCTTCATCTTCTGGCCCCTCCTCACACTCTGTGAATCAACGTCAAAGTTCGTCTCATAACCATTTATCTGCTTCTCGCATCCATGCTTAAATAGTTGTGCAACCAAGTGCGACATTGAGATGTCTACGTTGAAGTTTTCCACCATCACATCCATATTCTTGTGTATGATACATTCTGCAAATATTTGATAGCAAAATATTGGATACATACGAATGAAAAAAGCATTTGCCGAAGTATGAAGAGAATTATCGCTTGCTAAATTATGATAAACCTGCAAAAATTTTCGAGAACCAATTGATGCTCTGCTTCGATAATAGCCCACTTTGGATTGATCCATTCTATGCAAATTCCAGTTCAAAAAATCCCGAAAAATAATTTATTTTTGAATTACATGATAACAAAGAAAAGAAAGCTTTCAGAATTTAAAACCGTGGTGATGATAGAAGAGAACAGTATAAGATTGCAAAATACTCTATCCCTGCACTAGAAGATCTGTGAATTTTACTAGCTATTTCAATTAGAAAAACTTGTTCTTTTAATGCTTCATCTAAAACATGCAATAGTATTAATTTAATGCCTTTTATCCATATATGAGAAATTGAGCTTAGGAAAAGTAAGAGAAACAACTATGTTATTGCTGTCATTTGGCATAAGCACCAAACATTCTTGAGGCAAAGGTTGAGAATGTGCTCAAAGATGAAAATTGATTTTCCCAATCGATTTCATTGTTGTGTTTGAAACCTTATGCAAGGCTTAACCAAAAAAATAGTGGACTTTTGATGACTAATAGTCACTGAAGAAATGGCATTAGATCTTTTTCTCCTTCTTCTCCTTCACACACACACACACACATTATTATTATTATTATTAACAAAATACCAACCATGGAACCCGTTTATCAGCCGCTGGACTCGTTAAAACTCGGCTCATGGATGAACCCGAGCCCGAGCCGAGCAGGGGGTTCAATCCCACGAGCCAAGCCCGTGAGCAGCTCACGAGCTCATGGGTTGGCTCGGCCCATTGCCATCTCTACCCGTGCAAATCGTGATCGATTAACCTATTTTTGTTTGAACCGGATGATTTTCAATTTTTTCACCGATTTCTTTACATTCGTTTTTAATATTATGACTGAACCGAATTTTGGTTTGAGTCCCTGTTTTGTCAATCGAATCGATAAGTCCAGCTTGATTTTAAGTATATTGCTTTATAGTCTCAACTAAGAAAGTTATAGTTGCACATATAAATTATCCTTTTGTTTTACTTTAATCGAGTCAATTAATATAAAATTATTATTAAATTATATGGAAGTTATCAATTTTCTATGCTAAACAACTAAATGTTATGGAAAGCATATATCTATCTAGTTGAACTTCACCTACCTTCCTCATTGTGAAATCGTGAGTATTTTCCACTCCAACGATAATTATTCCAATATGAAACTTGTTGCGTATTGTCATACTTGGCCAATCCACCTGGGCCAATGGCCCACTCATGCCAAACCAGGTGGCACTCCAGCGGGGGTGGCATATATTGCCGAGGTGGCAATGACCGAAACCCTTCAAGCCGAAGTCCACTAACCGAGGCTCCCTTTTACCGAAGCCTGTGAATGTAACCGAGATCCACATGCTGAGGCCTATGAGCCGAAGCCATGATACTGAAACTGATTGGAGTTAGCTGAAGCTCTCAAGTGGAAATATTGTATGAAATGACCGAAGCCCCGAAACTGATGCAGGAGCCTCCGAACCACAAAGGAGCATCTTCCATGGTCACTTCTTCCAAGAGATTGCCTACACAAAGATCTTATTCGAATGATTGATGAAATATTTGTCATAAGCATAAAGGTCAAGTCTTGTCACTAGTATGGGGGCTCTGCACAAGCAATAAATGCGTCGCAAGCTAGCAAGTCAAACCTCGTGCCTAGGATAAGATGTTTGAATCGAAGAGATGAGGTCACGTGCCACCTCATCCAAGGGCTCCCATTTCACATGTATCACTATAAATACTTCCATTGTGTAACATCAAAGGGCTAATACAAGAATCAATACAAAGAATTACACTTTGCTCAACTCTCTCTCTTTTACTTGCAATACACAAATCGAGTTTATACATATTTACATATATATTTACGAACACCGGTTGGTAATTATTATACAATCGGATTACGAACAACCCATCGAATTTCGAACGTCATCGTCCCGCGTCGTTGGGTTATTCCCACGCCCTTTGAACAGCTCGTTTTAGACCGTCCTCACGTCTTTGCTTGTTGGACATCTGCCCATGTGTGCGCGAGTGAGACCAACATCTGTTGACAACATTTTTTAAGGTCAACAAAACTCATCTAGCAAAAACGAATCTGTTGTACAACACGGATCCAAAGTAGTACTTTCCTTTGAATGTAAATGAGCGCTTGATTCATATACTACAGAAACAAAACCAAACAGAAAAAGGTCGATTCTCTCTCACAAATCTTTCAGGCTTGTTTCTTTGAAAAGTCATGCTACCTACGGCCAACCACCAACAAAATTCCCTTTCTGCTCCTCCCCTCCCTGGCAAACCCCACTATAAACCCTTGTCTGTGCACACTAAACCCTTCACCGGTGACATGATCGATCCTTCGTTGGGTCCAATGCGAATCGATGGATCGGAAGAGGACTTAGTCCTCTCCAAGTCCGAATATCTGACCCGACCCGAAGTGCTAAAACGCCGTTCTCTCCGGGCCAAGCAACTGAACCGGATATACCGGGACCATTACTGGGCGTTAATGGAGGAGCTCAAAATCAAGTACAGAGAGTACTGCTGGGAGTATGGTAAAAGCCCTTTTCAAGACGATGGAGAGAACGAGAAAATCAATTCGAATCGCCGGGATGGAACAAGATTATTCCAAGAGAATGATAATGGGACTGGTAATAAGTATGGAAACCCAGGGGTTAATAATGGGAATAATATTGTTAATAGGTGTGGGGTTCATGGTTGCAAGGCGAAGGCCATGGCATTGACGAGGTTTTGTAATATGCATATACTGTCTGACTCGAAGCAGAAGTTGTACAAGGCTTGCAATTTCTCCATTAAGAGGTTTGTTTCTTATCTTTGACGTCTTTCCCTTAAATTGTATATAATTTTGTGCATTGTACGTCCTTTTCTCAACTCTATACCAATTTATTTTATTTATTATTATTATTATTATTATTTTTTGCACGCGGGCTCTTGTAACCTTTTATTTGTCTGTTGCACCTTGATTTTTCGGTTGCTTTATTTGGGGTTATCAATTTTTATTTGTGTTTCTTGCATGCTATTTAAAGTTTGCTCTTAATTAACAACACGAATGGAATGCACGGGGAATTGTGGTTTATATTCGTCATTGAAAGATTGTTGGCTTGTGTTTATGTATGGGTGAAGTTGGTTGGAAGGAATATAAAATTTCTGAAGATACATGTCACCTAAACGTCCACGTCCTTAGGAATTTGTTATTGAAAACAACAATTTAATAAATTAAGGCGGCCCCTCTCAAATAGTATCTTTTTGATGAAGAAGTTAGCATAGTATCACAACTAGGACCTAGACTTAGGTTCGAGTTTTGCTATGTCTAACCTTTAGTAAATATATGAATTTGGCTTGCATAGGGAGCATGTGGGAGGCAACAAAAATAAATAAGTATGTTCTCTTTTTAACCATTTAAGCTTTTAGATGACGTGGTGAACAATTGTTATTAAACCAACTAACATTATATGGTAAGGGTTGTTACATCATTAGGGGACAAAATGTTCCTATGATGAATTTTAGAGATATGTTGATGATAAGATGAATGTGTTACAATTAGTAATAAGTATGTAAGATGACAACTTAAAATTTAGGATAAATTAAGAGAATAGACAACTTAGCTGGTTGTGGTATGTCTATGCAGACAAAGAATTTTCTATTTAACAAAGCTATATAATGTGAGGGACAAGTTAGAAAATAAAGAGATACAAATCAAAGTTAACATGGCCTAATTTGATTGCAAAATATTTAAGTTTGTTGGACCGATATGTAGTGGTGGATCAAAAGGAATGATTATAAAAGAAGTGTGTAGTCCATCCAAGTTTATAAGAAACAATGCATAACTTCCTGTCGTTGTTCATATATTTCAACATTGTATGATGTGGTTGCAAATAAATTCATTACATTGAACCTTTTAGTGGATGTAGTACAAGAGAGAATGAGGAGGGGAAAAAGGATTATTTAGTTGTCCCAAAGTTGATTAGGATTAACTATTTAGACTAAGCTTGTCATTATTGTTCCAAGTTGGGACGCGACTTTCTTTGAGCTATCGGGGAGCTACTTTCTACCCTAGATCTTCTCATTGCTAACACATTATGTATGTCTCTGTAATATCACATTTATTTCATTTCTTTAATGTCAATGTTTGAACATTAAATTTAATAGTTTTTAGAGTAAAGGTTAAATGAAACCTCCTCTTTTCAAAAGCTTATGAAAACTTCCCTGAGGTTTAGTTTAATGAAAGATTCTCTGTGCTAGCCAAAATAAACCATAGTTTAACACTCATAACTTCTATACTATGTTAAGTTACGATATTAAGCCCTTGTTTGAGCCCTATCTTCCAAAATGCATTTTTTTTAAACTCATTTTCAACCATACTTTCTCCCCATAAAATAATTTTACACGTAGATAAAAAATTTTCTTTACTTTTTAACCACATATTCTCCAAAAAATAACTATTTCAAAATCTATTAATTCAAAATAATGGGGCTCAAACAAGGGCTAAACTTATATCGCACTATCAAATATGACGTTGGCAGTAATTAAGTTTCAAAATTTGGATTTTTTTCGTTCCTTCTTTTTCTAATCTAAATTTTGGTTGAGTTTTGTCCATTTATGTAAAGCAGTTTATTTTGCTGAAAATATTATTGAGAAATGATCATTTTGTGCAAAAGAGAGAGAAATTAACTTTCTTTAAGCTAAAAAATATTTGTTTTTGCAGGGGTGATTTCTATTGTATTTGAAGGGGCAGAGTCTTAGCATTATTTACTATAGTTTTTAATACTTCACTGAAGAGACCAAATATCTTCTCCCTCCTCCTCTCTTCAAATTTCTTACCAGGAAATCCTAGTAATATACAACTCATCTACATCTCTACTGAAAAAATTCTGAAGAAGAAGAAGAGAGAATCCATATAGTGTTGCCTATCATGAGAAGAATACCAAGATGAAAGAACTAAGTCTATCGCCTCCCTTTCCTTGCTTCATATTGCACGAGCAAACACAATTGTTAGGTTCATAGGGTTCTATCTTGGCCGTTCCCACCAACCACTAATTTACGAATATTGCACTTTGATATTGGTATGCAATCTACAATGAGAATCGTATTGAAAATATTCATCTTCTTTTTTCTGCTTAATTTGATAAGGTTTCATGCTTCAAGTGCTTGCTGGTTTCTTTTAGACTGTAATTTTCAGTTTTGATGTTATGTAGAAAAGAACAATGTAATTTTTTTACATTTTGTTGTAACCTTGTTTCTCTCCAGCCCAAGTTGTCATGAACGACGAGATAATTATGGAGATCTGAATCTCAAATGATCATTACATTAAATCTGATTTTTCTGCACGCATCACATGAAATTTTGAGATATAACACTGGAGTATAGGTTTTAATTTGATGATACTTTTCATAGTTGACTGGAGTCATTGTTACTTATACAATTAGTTGCAATTGATTATCTCATTGATCATGAATATGTTTAGAATCTCAGTCTGAAGTACGTATACTCGTCGTGAAGGATGGTTAATATTCTCCCATTTATGTGGATAATCCTTTTTGACAACACTGTATGTTCTGTACTCCTTGCTTTTTGGTTATGGAGAAAATACTTCTCACAGTTAATATTCTGTTAACATAACAATACATGCTACAAGATCAAATCAACATAAGAATTTTCATATATATATATATATATATATACTGAGAATAATTGTTTAATATTCTTTTGTAATTGTCACATGGCAGTTCGCCTACAGGACCTATACTTTGCGGGAAACCAATACTAAGATCAATGGTTCCTTCTTATTGCCCTCTTCACTTTCAAAAGGCTGAAAAGCACGTCGCACGTGCTTTGAAGAAGGCAGGTCTTAATGTCTCTTCGACAAGTAAGCTTGCTCCCAAGTTCCATGTGGTAGCTGCAGAATTTGTCCACCAAATTCAAAGCAAGAGAAGTGCACAAAAGGCTACTTCAGGAAGTGCTGAGGTTAAGCAGGAGAATGTTTATTAAACCTCTAGGTAATGCAAATGTGTATTTAGTACCAATGTATTTTTACAGCGAGAAAGTTTGTGAACCACAAATAGTAGATTGGAGTAGAAACTGTATCAGCATTACAAGAACAGAAGAACTTCATATGGGGCACAGACCTGTGGCTTGAATTATTGATTCTTGTGCATATTAAAGTTATCATGTCTTGATTTATCTGTACTTTTGTCTTCAATGTACTTTTTACTTAGTAGGAATGTGCTCTTTGATGCATGCACCAGTCTGTAAAGAAGTTTAGCGTATGTCGACCCAATGTCAGGATAAGAAAATAAAATGAAATATTTGCATTGTTATGATAGCAGAATAAGGATTCATTTAGCCAACTCGAATTTGTGGGAACAAGGCTTTAGTTTGTTGTATGATGAATATTTTAGTGCTGCTAATTTACATCTGCGTGTCTACTTGTTTGCTCAATGATAGTTGCTGCACGCTACAATTAACTGTAGTAACTAATTCTATAATGGATCAAAATTTGAATCCAGATATTGTTGTGTATATATTTGTTAAGAGTTTCTGCTTTATACTTGAAAAACATCAAACAGGGATGGTTACAAATTTGTACCAATCTAGATTCCATATAAGCTCATGGGATGGGGTCTCAAACATTGAAAGGTATGTAAAGAACATTATTTCCTTACAACATGTAGAGCTACATAGGAAACTTGCCTTTCCGATATGATTTTTTAAGGTTTATATAATTGTAATCATAAGAGATGTGCTTATCAGTCCTGAAAGAAATTTTCTCCCAAGATGACTCTTTCATTTTAGCTTGAGTAGTCTTACTGCAAGAGCTGGATGTCGTTTCTTTTTGCCTCATTTACTGAACTAGTTAAACAATATTGAATTTGAAGGTGCTCTTTTGTTTGCGCTTCTCTTGAACAACTTATATTTAGAAGAGTAATAACAGGAGAAGTGTTATTTGTACATAGGATTTGTACATATTACATTACAGGGACCCACATGGCAATTTTTCATTGGATGTTGGGGGAAAAAAATAGAAACTGTACAAACTGTTAATCCCAATTTGCAGAATTGAAATCTTGTCAAATCCAGAAGTGACATTTTTTTTCATTGCTTGTGATAATCTGTGAACATTACAGAGGAATTATTCAGATATTGTCTTGATGATGTGACATTAAACTAATGCCGATTTATGTCGTTTATTTGCTGCATAATACTGATTCAATAATGATACATTTTATGTGTTAGCCTATATTTTTGAAATCAGTGGATGCTTTAGATTGTGAAGGGATGACAATCTGTGTTTTGACGAGACAACCCTACTACACCTACTGGGAGAATTATCAAACTGCGTTGTAGAGGTACAAGTGGATAGCATTAATTGGACCTTGAACAAAAAACAGTTTTATACCAGAAATTGTAGACAATGTATGGACGTCACCTGTCTCCTTGACATTTTTTCCCCAGCAATCTCCTCTGTACAAGGTGCTTAACTCTTGATGAGAATCTTTAGCTACAAAGTGCTATACAATTAGACTAACAAGACAGCACCATGCCTAACCTCACAAATGCTCACAAACTTAGAAATTTACGGCTTGATTTCATTCACGAGTTATCCCTTTTCATATTCTCGAGACAATGCTTGTCTTCTTCGCTCCCGCAAAGCACAAGTAAACACCAGCCTTGACTAACTGAAGCACAAGGTATGAATTCTGAACATTGGTCTTTGGCTGTGATCTCCAAGAGTATGAACTCAAAAGGATTTCTTGAAGCATTTTCCAATCACACAACTATGCAAAAAACGTTTTCTATGAAATCTTAGAACACGCAAATAAAGTTTTTGAGACCATAGGCAAACTGATAACGCTTGACCCTACAATTAAAATACTGGGGTCGAGCTTTTTATCTTTTAATTTTAAAGTCATTTGGAGGCATTAAGTCTTTAAAAATGTATTAGGATTTTTAATTTTCAGTCATTGTCTTTAATTTTTAGTCACTATCTAGATTTAATCATTGTTATAAACAAGGATTGAAGTCTTAATGGCACTTAGTTGTTTTTGAATTAAAATAAAATAGTAATTGTTGAATTTTCAGTCTGAGTATTCATGCACAAAACAATGATTTGTCGATCAAATTGAATATTTGGTATTCATGTAAAGAATCAACTTATTTTTAGGATTGTTCTTTTGTTCGTTATGAATGCAATACGGAGACATCAATATTCTAGTCTTGATTTTTCACCAAAAATATTACGAATTTTGTGGATGCAAAGACCGAAAGTAGCCACAAATTATTCTCTCTCTCAGTGGAGAGTGCATTTTTATATATGATGTGATAGAACTAGGTTTTCATGAGAAAATATAAAACTAGGAGTGTTAATGGAACAAGTCATTCGTTGATTTGATTCAATTTGCCCC